CCAGGCTCTGTGTGAGATAGCAGGGTGTTTGTCTCTTTCACTCTGTCTCTGGCTGTCTGTTTGCCTGACACTTGTCTGGCTTGGCCTACTTTCTTCTTGATCTCATCAGTCAGCGTGAAGACCTGTGAAGGCCATCTTCCCATCTTGCTCTGTGAATCCGTGCCAGCTCCGTGCCTGTGTCAGCAGTTAGGGACTGAATGAAAACCCACACAATCTCCAGTGTTTGCTCCAGGTCTCACTGGGCAAAAGGTGGCACTTCTACTTCAGTTGAGCATGGATAATTTGCATGCTCATAAATCACTCACAATTCTGACACTAAGCCCTGCACTAAGACACAGCACAGTTGGAAAACTCCAAAAGCTAGTTTTTAATATCATGAGAATTGGGATCAATCATTCATATAATCTAGAGCCTGTTGTTTTCTTAAATCTTTTATAACACATGCCACCGCAGTTGGCAGATATTTTAGGAAATTTAACAGGAACACAATTAGTTTTCTATTTTTTCTGTCTGGTGCCTGTGGTTTTCTTTTTCTTTTTTGTAGGACAGAACATGTTCTGCTGTATTATTTGTTTTTTTTTTGTTTTTTTACATAGGAATTGTAATTGTTTTAACATTAAGCAAGTCTTTGACTGAAGTAGAAATTCCAAAAACATTTGCAAATGACTTAGACCAGGGGTCTTCAACATTTTCTTGGCCAAGGACCCCAAAACTGAAGGCGAGATGGAGCGAGGAACCCCTAATTATATATATTGTATGAAATTGTATCATATCAAACTGGTCCTATAGTCACTCTATTACATATGGAGTCATGTAGGGAAAGTAATTTTGCCCTGGGAAGTATTTCTGATTCTGATTCCTTATTGATAAGTCAGGTGTTGTGAAAGAAACGGTGCCCAGCTTGAAAGAGCTCCTGTGTGTCGCTTTATTAATGACTGAAAGACATCTTCTGCCTCCATTTATCTGTTTACTACAGTGTGTTGAATTTATGTTAATGTGTATTTAAAGACATTTCAATTAGTGTAAAAAAAATTACAGGGGGGAATATAAAAAAAAAGTCTAATCAACCAAAATTTTTGCAACCCCCATGCAATACCTCCGTGGACCCCCTAGGGGTCACGGACCCCCTGTTGAAGACCTCCGACTTAGACAACTTTTATTGTCATTTTGTAAACCCACAGCATATAAAAAACGAAATTTCCTTTTGTACAGCTTTCAAACAGTGAATAAGCAGCTTTTTAGCAGTGAAATTAACATTTTAATTTCATAAAGTGATCAAAAACACAGGGGGCAAAAAAGCATATGGAAGTTCAGAGGATTTCAAGGCAAATATATATGGTGCATATATGGTGCATATATGGTGCCATAATGCATTTCATTTAATCATAACTTCCAATGTGGCCACAGCATCTTTACAACATTGTGCTAGCTGCAGTTATAAGCTGTCCATATCTCTTATAAGGTTTGTATCTCTAGAAATCATTTCCAAATATTTTACGAAACAAGCTTTTCACTTAGCTTTCTCCTTTGAAGAAACTTGAAGAACTTAACTATTACTAGCTACTAGCTGCTAGTTTGACATCAAGTTCAGGTGCTGACATCTCACGTTTCCCTACTTGCAAGTAGAATTACGTTTACGTTCATTCCAAAGCTCAAGGTTGAAAATAAAATGTAAAGCAAGGAGCAACAATCATTTCCTTTAACAACCAACAGCTTTTTATCTCTGTAGTCCTCTTGTAGGTGGTTTGTATCAAAATTTTCCATGAGTTTACCAAGTCACAGCAACAAAAAATACTTGTACCAAAAAAAAAAAAGGTGTTAGCAGCACCAAAAAGAATAAAAAAAAATAATACTATGCAGTTCCCCAACAATTTTTATTCTTTCTTCTTTGCTGCCACAAATCTGTGAAAAGAAAATTCTGAATAAAAATGATGTGAACATATGGCTCAATCAAAGCCTGTGAAGTGTTCACAGCTCTACAAGAAAATGTAGAGCTTCAAAATTATAGCTACTTCTTCTGATTACTGATTCAGCAGCCTTGGTACAGGAACATGCACAAATAATTTGTGTTATTCAGACTGCTAATCCTTCTCTTGTGAGGACAGAGGCAAATGAACCAGAACCCAGAACTGCATTAATCAGGATTGGTTTATTTGAAATAAGAGTGTGGTGAGTATGCTTTCTTGTTTATGTACCCAGAAAAAAGCAATTAACATTATTACACCCAGTCACCTAAAATACAACATGTGTGGATAGTTTATAGTGACAGCTAATTTCCAATTACTGTCACTTTGTTTTAAAGCGAGCTGATGCTGAGGCTTCTCTTGCTGCCACAACAACAAAACCAAGACTTGCTGGAGGATTCGGACAGGACCGCCATGTGACAACCATTATGTCTTCTCTTGTAACGCTGAAAGACCTTGCTGTCAACATCCTCCAATGGCAGCTGGGGTATATCCATCCAAAGCAATACAGGCCAGACGCTGTCCACTGTGATGCCTCTTGATTATCCTGAGTACCATGAGATTGTTTCTGGATAGACACACATTGTCTCTGGAGTGTATTTTTCTATGCTATTTATAAAACGCTTTAAGCATCTGTAGTGAAAAAGCTAAGGCCATGCCCTCAATCTTGCAATTGGAAAGCAGTTTTTTTCCCCTATTCTATTGATAGACACTCAAATTATAATCTTGAGGGTTATATTGCACTTTAAGGAGAAAAGAAATATAATAAAGTCATTATGACCTCAAAGAAATGTTGGTTTATTCAAGCTCTCCATTTTTAGTGTGACTTTTCATCATATCACATACATTTTGGTAGATTTTAGCATCACACAACAAAAAATAAGCCCCATCAACTCTCAAAAAGGGAACAATTTGAGTTTAATGAAGGTGTAAAACGTATAATTGGAACTCCTGGTGTCAGCATTTTACAAATAAAGACCAATACCCCATTAAACTTTTTTCACATCTAACATTTTGACATGAACATGATAAAATTGGAACAATTACAGAGTTGAATTTCAAACAGCCTCTTTAGCTTTATGATCCTATAAACTCCAGTTCAGTCACTCTGCTAATTGCAAAGATTTATTGTTCTACTAAAAATCCTTGCAGGCTACATATATTTACAAACATTTTTAAATGGGTAAAAATCAATATCAATTTGTAGAGCCATCTTAAATTGTGCAAATTATGGCACATTTCCTATTTTTTCATGAGACACTGAGAAAGGTGAACAAAGGGTTGTAAAGAAATGTGTTTGCAAAAAAAACAAATTACATGATAGGCACTGTTGATTTTCTTAATCATTGGGGTTGTGTGCTGAGATTATTTATATTTGAGGTGTAGTTTGTTAGGATAATTATCATTGATGATGTGTGAAGTTTATTACACTTTAATATTAGCTGCCTGTTGCATGTCAGAACTGATGTTTTCCCCAGTAGTTTATCTAATGAAGACAGTTACTCGGTCCGACTATATACAGCTATAAACTTTATTTTGTACATGGCAAATATGTGGGAACGGAATGAGAGCGATGTCCTTCAGCTAAGAACAAAGTGTAATATTTTGATAAGGCTGGAGCCATGGATGTCTACTCATCTGCAAACGTGTATGATCTAACGATGTGATGATGTGGCATAGTGAAGTATAAAATGCTTCTCTACCCGTTTGCCAGGGCCACTTCCCATGAAATGAGCCCGGCGTCAAGCTTTGCCTTCTGTAACTATAAGCAACTTCTCTGATCTGAGTAAGATTACAATTTCTATCAAATAGCAAAAAATTGACAGCAAAAATGCACAAAACTCAAACACAAAAGGTTGGAACATAACTACCAATAGTAATGAATTGACTATATAGACCTGCTTTGATTTATTAGAGAAGTGGTTTGAGAATATCTATTTGTGTTTAGAAATAACCTGAACTCTACTTCTTAAACTGATAGTTTGCTGCTTGAAGTTGATTGGTTGATGTACCGGGTGCATTTGAAATGAATTAGTTGCAGATTCTCAGAAGAAATATTCCAAGAAAGGACTTAAAGTATCCTTAAAAGTTCTCACTGTGATTCTGTTAGGATAATTATCATTTATTACACCTTAATATTAGCTGCCTGTTGCGTATCAGAACTGATGTTTTCCACAATAGTTTATCTAATGAAGACAGTTCCTCTGTCTGGATTACAGTTATAATCTTCATTCTGTACGTGGCAAAGATTTGGAAATGGAATGAGTGGTGTCCTTCAGCTAAGAACAAAGTGTAATATTTTGGTAAGGCTGGAGCCATGGATGTTTAATCATCTGGTAACGTGTATGATGTAACAATATAATGATGTGGCAGACTGGAGATGAATAAAATGCCTCTCTAACTGTTAATTGAGGCCACTTCCTGAGAGGTGAGCAGCTGCCTTCTGTAATTCTAAGCAACTTCTCTGATCTGAGTAAGATTTCTATGAAAATCTGTTGTTGTGTCTCATGGTTATTCAATACATATAAGTTATGGAGTGTTATTTAAAGAACTTCTCCTGAGTGATCCCTTTTCAGGAAAAATAACCGGAGAGAGAAAGCTTTAAGGTGTAGACACAGAGTCTATCTTTAACAATTCTCAAAAATCCCCCCAAAATATTTTCCAGCCTAATAAGAAAGGTGAAACTTTTAGACAAGCAAAGGAGGAAAACATCCTGCCCACCTAAATTTCAAAGAGATTAAGATTTTATTAAAGTACATTTACTTGTGGGCCCATAATCTTCCCTTACCTATGAGGATGTTCAAAACACAATGACTAAATAGTTTCCCAAAATATCACTTACTTTAACTTTTAATATATTTTCTTTTTTTCTTTATTAAGTGGCCTGGTATAATGATGTAAAAGCGTACTGGACATGCAGCCAGTTGTATTATGGAGGTTAAGTAAAAGCCATCACTTTCCATAAAGAATATTAGGCTATCTTGCTTGGAGTGACCTGGAAACGCCCCCACAGAGAGCTGAATCCGGGGCAACACTTTGGGAGTCACAGCGCGGGGCTTGCCTGCCTCCCTACCACCGCTCCCTTTCCCCATCCGCGGAAACATTTCTGCGCGTGTCGGCACACACGCGACACAACTTATAGTCTCCTCGTTGTTGCCTCCACGCAGATCGGCTTCGTGTGAAGCGTGGATTGGAGTGAAGGAGAGAGGGATACTTCCTTCTCGTTGTCGCCTGTTCTCCTTCAGTGCGCGCTTCTCTCCATCCGTCCCTGGCCGGCTCCCTTGGCTCCGTATGAGCGAAAACCTCTGGGTCTCCAGAAAGCAACGAGGGTCAGCGCAGGAGCGCGTGAGGAACAACACAACCCACAGGTGTGCTGCAGCCACAGCGAGCGGTGCCTCCAGGCGCTTCTGGAGACGAAGGCGCACGCATACCTGGAAATTACCATGTGACTGTGCACCTGGGCGTGGAGAAAGTCCTCATATTCCGAGCGGAGACTCTTTTGTTAAGGAGTTGACCGCGCCACCTCCCGACAGCGGCGACAGTTTGTTCAAACCCTGGGTTTGTTATCGCTTGTTTTTGTGGAATAGTGCCTTTTTTTACGAGACATAATCACAGGACTCGAGACGAGATGTAAACTTCCTCACGGACGTTTTCTTTTCTCTTTACCAAGAAATACAAGTCGACAAATTTAATAAAGAGGGCTTATCCACTTGGCTGTTAGGACTGTTCGCGCGTGAGGAACAACTGCGCTCTTTCACCTTCAAGGTGAGTTCCGGGAAAAGCCTATTAATGCTTTTGTTTTCATCACCTTTTGACTTTGTTAAGTTTGAGTTTGTCACACATGTCAGACTCTGTTGGTGTTCGTGGAAAAGCGAACCCAGGAATGTTGTTATTTAACTTGAAATGATATGTTTCAATATTTCAAATAAGCTTTTTTCCCTTTTGCCGTTTCGTACCACTGAACAAACCGTTTCGTACGCATGGAGTCCCCATAACTATTGCCCACGTCTGTATTTTATATCTGTGGTTATGGATATTTTAAATGCTCAAATCTCACGTGTAGTTCGTTTAAAATTTTATTTTCTAAAAACAAAAACAAAAAAAACAAGCAAACAAAAAAAAAACCCTCACCTTCTCGGGACCCTCATTACTGTCCATGTTAACAAATATTACGCATTCCTCCCATTAGATTGGACAATTTCCTCAGCTGTTGGTTTCCAGAGTTTGTAATTGATAGCTCTGGGAAAGTTGTAAAAGTAAGTTATGGAGAGTTTTGTGGAATTTCTCCATCTTGTGGAAGCAGCCCTTGTCAGCTGTTAGTCCAGTCAAAATAACTGTTTTAATATGAGGACAGATAGCAGTGGCACTGAGTTAGGAAGTCAAATAGTTACAGATTAAGACGCATTCCAAGGACATCTGATGAGAAGCTTTCCAAAAAAAAGCTGAAGGCTCCAATAGCCTCCCTGGGGGCCATATACACACCAAGAGTCTAAAGGAAGAACCTTATATTGTGCTTTGGAACTTCAAGGAGTTTTGTAAATGTTGTTCAGATAGGTAGATCATTATCTAAAGTTGCTTTCCTGTCAAGCTGTTGTTTACTTCAGGGAGGTATTTGATCGGGTCACTGATTGTTTTTTTAACTGATGTACCGGGGAAGTAAAGTAATGGACGAAATAAGAGGAAAACTGTAAAAGTGAGGAACAACAAACAGGCAAGACGACCATCACCCCTTCAAGGCTCTAGTCCTCTGGGCTATAGTTTCCTTCCTGCTTTAAAAACACCAAGTTTGAAAACAAGCGTGCCTTGTTCTAAACTAGACCACCATCCTGACCTTGTAACGCACCAGTAACGCAGTGCTGCATGGGTAGATGTTTTCTTAAAAGAAGCCCTTTTTGTACGCGATCAATGAGCTGTGTCATTGTAGCTCATCAGAGCTGTACTCATGACTGTCTGGGTTAAAACTTGTACTGTTCTCAGTCTCAGCAGCTGATTGATTGTAGAAGGAGATAGAAAAGAGGTCCTAGAAGACATGTGCTTCCCGAAAACCATTAATTTAACGTCAGACGCACTACAGCCACAGCATCTGCCCGGTCACCTCACAAGGGGCCGTCTGTCCCTCCGCGTCAGCAATTTCAGAGAGAAATGGACACGTGAGCCGCCTTCCTCACCTCAGGACAGTCAAGCCGTACATCAGGATCCGTGAGCACAGATGTAGTAGAGCCATGCCTCATGTTATTTTTTTTTTTCCATACTCTGTATCCCTCTATCTTGTCTCTCTCGTGGACTACAAGGAAACAGAGGCTCTATTGATGTCCCTGTTGAATCTCAGATGCTGTTCTTGCCAGTCTGTATCTCTCAGTCCCTGGTGCAGCCCTCAGAAAACCAATGTACTGCCTTGTTACCCCATTTTTATTGAATTTGTTCCATCATCTTCACCCCTTTTCCTGTAGACTTACCTACTGTATTCAGTATCTACCTCCTGGAGATTATTCCAATTAGATAACTTCTTGCAAACAGATTCCTAGTGGGAGTGGATTAGCGCAGAAGGGGGGACATTATGAAAGCCGGAAAGGTGGCTGCTGGTGGGGGTTCAAGCAGGAGGTCAGCTTCCAGTTTCTCTCCACTCTGTGAGATGCCATCTGGTCACACAGAGCAGGGATGCACACAAGCAGTTTGAAAAGTAACCCCTGCCTCGGTTTAGTGGGTCTTTCTCCTTCTCCCTACCCCACAATGCTTCATTCAGTGTTTATCTCTTTTTGTGCTGAATAAATAGAGACACCTTATCTGTGCAGAGGAGAGCGTGATAAATGTTTTCTCCTGCTCCCCACAAGGGTGAAGAAGACAGGCGTACCACACTGCTTTATCATAGATGCTCTTTTCAGGAGAGCGGAATGAGAGACGTTTCTCATTCAGGTCATGTAAAGGGTTTCAGGAGTGTGCAAAACAATTCCCAAAGCTGAGCACAGACTCCAATGCAAGTGAAACGGGTAAAAAAACAAAGCATTTGTGAATTTTCCTCTCCTTCAACCTCTGTCTCTGTTGGTAAAAAGCTGCTAGATCTGAAAATAAATCTGTGGATAAAAGCAACTTTTAGAGTAGCTTATAAAAGTTTTCACGCTATTAAACCTTTCAGATTTGTTAAGTTTTTATATTTTAGTGGGAATTAATGTTCAAGATCAATGCAAAGTAGTGGTTAATTGTGAATCAAAATGGTTCTAGAGGATCTCTGCAGCTCCTCTAGAGTGACCATGGGCCTCCTGGCCACTTCTCTGATTAATGCTTTCCTTGTTCAGATTGTCTGTGTTCTGCTGACTGTTTTTGTCATCAGACTGTTTAGATCTGAGTTGTGCATTTTGCATACAGTTGATTAGGGGAGTAGCAGCCTAGTGGTTATGGCATAGAGCTTGGTATTCTGAGGTTCTGAGTTTGAGTCCCACCTCCACAGACTGCCACTCTGGGCCTCTGAGCAAGACCCTTAACCCCACACTGCTCCCCCGGTGCCCCACGTTTACAGCTCACTGCTCCCCATGGGATGGGCTAAATTCAGAGGTAAATTTCTCCAATATGAGATCAATAAAGTTTAAATATTACTATTAAATTGCGACTCCATGTTGCTTTATCACTAAAATCCTTATTAAATATTTTGGTTGTAATGAGACCAAAGTGTAAAATATTCCAGAAGGTGTGAATACTTTTCTGTAATAGCCTTTGGACTGTTGAAGTACTGAGGAGTTATTTATTTATTTTTTTTTGTCTGGTGTTTTTTGAAATGGTAAAGCAATGGCTTCTGACATGATGTCTGTTCTGGGAAATTTAAAGTAAAATTTCTTGAGTTTAAATTCAAAGTTTGCTTTTCAGTGTCTTCACTGAGTCTACACCATGTCCTGAATGTGTGTGGCATATTATAGGGTATGGCCATATTTTTAAGGTCAAGTGAATTCATACTCATCCGTTGTCTCTTGTGTTTTTGTTGGCCAGGATTACAACTCCTGTCGTTTTCATTTGGAAAATAAAAAGCCTTAATCCTCATAAACAACAGACAATCTCATCCATCCTGTCTGTAGTACACAGGCAGGAACAAAGGGCTGGACAAGCAGAAGCATTTATTTCTAGCATTTATTTCATCATCAGTTGTTCCTTTTTTGGTTCTATTTTCTTCTAATCTATATAATCTACATTATTTTACTGCTTTACATGTTTGGATCCACTATGGGATTTAGTTAGCATCTTCTTCTGTAGAGCATACTTCATACATTTACTGATTATTCAATAGGTGTACTGTGAGTTACCTATGCATATGTGCTAGCTTGTTCCTCATGCTTTCCCTATGTACACATCACTTTCAGGAGAGAGTGGGCAGATGCTTGAAGGGTGTGCCAGCTTGGAATTAGGCTGCTGAAAGGTGCTGGGGGAATTAAGACTTACTTTAAATTGGAGATAGACATGTCTTTTCATGTCTGAGGATTATCTGGTGATGAAGGGACGCCACGCTGAGGTGGTTTTCTGATCTTATCTCTGCTGGGTTTTACAGCTGCCACACTTGCCCTTGGAAAAAAAGGCCTTTCCTGAGTCGTCCCTTACAGCGGTTTCACTTTCTTTTTGCACCTCCCTCTCGGCCGGATGTGACGTGTGCACATCACACTTTAACGCCTGCTACCCTTTCCACTCAACACCTTTTTGCCTTGGTCTCACACACTTGATATCAGAGTAAACAAAGCAGATCCATGACAGATCCAGGAGTTGTGATTATGTTAATTTTCATCTTAAGTCCCCTAGCACCAGGCTGTGAAGCTGGCTCTGTGACAGCAGAGCCTGGCATGTTTCTGCACCCTCAAACATCCGCAGCTGTAGTTTACCTTAAAGTCCTCTTGGTTTTTAAACTGAAGGGTCAATCGCAGCTCAAAACGCCTTTCTTTAACTTCTAAAATAACCTTGATACTTCAACAATTTCAACTGTTTTGTCCCCATATTCGGCAAGAATTGCACTGCCTGAACCCATCATAGCTGCCGACTCATGCTGACTTCTCCTGCTGCTCCTTACTCTACCTGTCTTCTGCCCTCACTTCTATCTCTGACTGAGAATCCCTCCCCCTTCATCTCTAAGGGCATGAGTAAAAAAAAGCATGATGAATCTTGCAAATGCCTTTCTGAAAAAGCAAGAGGAGTCACCTGGGGCGAAGGCTGTCTTAATTGCTTTGTCGAGGAGTCATGGGGCAGGATGTTTTACACAAGAGCTTTAAGACAAACATTTGAAAAGAAAGACATAACAGGGATATGATAACATTATTTTAAGACCCTCCAATCACACAAGTCTGGACTGATGAAGTTTTTTTTTCTTTGAGGGTCTGTCCTGTCAATGCTGTCATAGACGGATTCTGATTTTCTTTTTCTTCAAAGGCCTAAGCATGGATGATGGAGTTTGGTAAAGGATGGGTTCTTTTATAGAGCAAGTCATTTTGAATCCACTCCTGAAAATGAAGCAATTCCAACATTTGTATTAATTGAAGAAACTGTGAAGAAAAAAAAATTGCAACCATACTGGTTTCTACTTATTTTACTTTTTTAAATAACTCTTGGCTGTTTCAGATCCACATTCAAATCTCACATTGGACGAAGATGACATGAATAAAAAGTAGTTTCTAAACTCAATTTTAAGTTATTGAGCAGAAAAAGTTATCAAAACTCAAACCCTTATACCAAATGCAAGCTTTATTATTGACATGGCCCTAAAATCAACATTTCCAGTAAAAAGAGTCTGTCTCACC